TTACAAAATATGAACGCCCATTCAACCACCAGTTTAACCATACCAAATTTACCAAATTCCGACAACAACTCGACCTTAAAATCCCCAAATCTCATTTTCAAATCCCTAGGGACAAATCCTCTAATTTCACCCCAACAAATATGTAATCTAGTCGAAATACTCAATTATAATCAAATATTATTGACTAACAATGGTCAAAAGTGACTTATCTCAAGTTTTTCCGTGAATTCTCTCTGAAAAATCGCCTCAACTCGTGTTGGAAATGTCCAAAAATGCCAAAATCCCGCAACCCCTCTGATTTTATTCTGTCTAGGGGTTTTCGCATCTGCGGCTCACTAAGCCACTTCTGCGGTTCCCGCTTCTGCATCGAAGCTGCCGCTTCTGTGGCTTATTTCGCTTCTGCAGACAAGAGGTCCTCTTCTGCAGCCTCGCATTTGCGGAACCCAAGCCGCTTCTGCGATGAGGCCCCTACTCTCTGACTTCCGCTTCTGCGATCAACTCGTCGCAGGTGCGAGTCCGCTTCTTCGGTCCTGCGTGCGCACCTGAGACCCCTGCCCTTGCCAAGCCAATTCTGCTTCTGCGCAACCATGCTCACTTTTGTGAGCTCGCACATGCGATCCCTCATGCGCATGTGCGAAGACACCAGTAACAGAAAACTTCCAGCATTTTCTTAAGTCCGAATTTGATCCGTTAATCATCCGAGACTCACCCGAGGCCCCCGGGACCTCAACCAAATATACCAACAAGTCCCAAAATATTATACTAACTTAGTCGAGGCCACAAATCACATCAAACAATGCTAAAATCACGAATCATACCCTAATTCAAGCTTAATGAAACTAAGAATTTTTAACTTCTACATTCGATGACAAAACCTATCAAATCAAGTTCGATTGACCTCAAATTTTGCACACAAGTCATAAATGACATAACAGACCTATTCAAATTTCCAGAATCAGATTCCGACCCCGATATCAAAAGGTCAACTCCCCGGTCAAACTTCCAATCTTAAATTTCTATTTTAGCCATTTCAAGCCTAACTTAACTACAGACTTCCAAATAATTTTTCGTACATGCTCCTAAGTCCAAAATTATCATACGAACCTATTAGAATCATCAAAACTCTATTCTGTGTTGTTTACACATAAGGCAATATCCGGTCAATCTTTTCAACTTAAGTTTCATCTTGGAGACTAAGTGTCTCAATTCATTTTAAAACCTCACCGGACCCGAACCAATTACCACGTGAAGTCATACAACAACTGTAAAGCATAAATTGAGCAGTAAATTGGGGAACGAGGATGTAATACTCAAAATGATCGATCGAGTCGTTACACAACCGCACTATTCAACAATCTCATTGATGACAGGTTTAACCCGTCCTAGAAATCTTGGAGTTTTATCCATTGCTCCATTCCGTTATGAGGGCACCTCCGCAAAAGCTCCTTAAATCTTTCCCATGCCTCGAACACTGTCTCCCATTCACCTTGGCTGAAATTGTGAATCTCCTTCCTCATCTGTCCAGTCTTAGCAGCAGAGAAATATTTTTCTAAGAACTTGGTAGTCATCTCCTCCCACGTACGTATTGACCCTGTGGGTAGACTTCTCAACCACTGCTTTACATCATCCTTAAGTGAGAAAGGGAATGCTCTGAGATAGATTGCATCATGTGATGCTCTATTGTAGCGGAATGTGTTCATAATTTCGTCGAAGTCCATCAGATGGTTATTGGGATCTTCATTGGGTTTGCCTCTAAAAATGCAGTTGGTCTGAATGGGGTGGATGACTCCCTGCTTGAGTTCAAAATTACTGGCATTAATGGGTGGGGGGCTCACACTAGATTGTTGTTGGTTGTACACCGGCCTGGCATAATCTCCTAGAGACCTCCCATGCCTGGGAGTTACATTTTCAAATTCATCTTCGACCATGGTTTGGTTAAGATTGAACCTTCCATCCTCGTCGATTGTTTCATCCGCAGCTCTACGGGCAGCTTCAGCTGCTAACCGTGCATCATGTTGTTGAGTTGCCTCTCTCGCAGCTAGGTTCACGTCCAATTGTTGTTCACCATTGTATTTCGAGTCGAAGTCTGACCCAACAACGATCCGCTTGATTCTTTCTCCCTTCTCAACTGTCGCATGTGGTTGTCTTATTCTGGATCATATGACACTAATTCCTTGGAAGAGGATCGAGTCATACACCACTGAAATTAACCTGCTGCTTGTACACACATAAGAAGAGCGTAAAAAAGAAAAATAAAATAAAATTGTTCCTCAATTAGCACCAAAAATTATTTCAAACAATATTAGTCGTCAATCCCCAACAACGACGCCAAAATTTGAAGAGCGCAAAATCGGTGTATAAAACTTAGGCTCGCTAGTCAAAGATATTATAGTATTAAAAGTTTGCACATGGATTGGTTTAAATAATATTTTATTAAATTTTCAGCTTAACACTATCTAGGAAAATAAACTTTTGATTCAAGTTATTACCGACTAATAATAAAAACTAAGATTATCGATTGTGAGAAAATAATAGAATTTTAGTGACTAAGTAGCAAAGAATGAATATCAAGGTGAGAAGTAAGGGTTGTGACAAGATATGTGATCAACTATTATTCTGGGTACTCCGTGCTAAGTTCACTCTTAACTTTTATTGACTCTTTTGATTTCAATAGATGGTTAGGCTACCTTAAGAATTCAAATTCTTCTTCCGAATGAATGAAAGTTTCGTTGACCAACCTAATGGCAGGTTCTATGAACATATGCAAAAATACATTGAATGAATGATCTTACGAAGAACGTCTCTCGACTATTCTTCTGTATTGGATCAATTGATAACTCTCTAAGATCTTTCGATTACCTATGAGAGGCGTAAAATTTACCCAAACAAGATAACCTAATATGAATTGCAGCAACACTTCTCTTTGGATTAAAGTAAAACCACAATTAGCCTTGCCATTCAATTAATAACTCACTTAACGAATTCAAGCAACTAACATAGAGTAAACCCCAAACAATAGTCAAATCACAATATATATCAATAACCCTAAGAAAGATTACTCCACAATGGAGAAGTTGTTTATCACAAGAGTATTAGAAGAACAAGAAGACATTACAATTCCCAAAATCAACTAAATTTCCGTATTGAATGAATTGGATGAAGTATTTAGAGTCTCTATTGTTTCCTTGCCTTTTTCTCTCCAAAAGTAGCTCCAAAATCCGAGATACCTTGTTTTGAGACGAGTTAGGCTTTATATAGGTCAAAAAGAGTCGCCTTTGAATTTACAAAAATAAGCCTGGGTAAAGTTCCCAGAAGCGGACGTGCGCGGTCGCGCACCTGGAGGTGTGACCGCGCACCTCTGGCAGTACACTGCGCCACTTGCGCGCTAGGGGTCTCTCATGCGCGGTCGCGCATCAGGGGTTTTTTCCTGCTCAACTCTTTTTCCTCCCACTAAGTGCACTATTCGTCCATTGATACCCTCCGCATCACCTGTACTGAAAAATAACATATTAGACTCAAACCTGACCAAATCTCTATCGAATCAGCCAAAACATAGACACAAAGTGGGCATAAATAATAAGTAACTTTAAGCTCATCAAAGAAGGCTTAAGAAGGAGGAAATAAATACAGTTTGGACAAGTACAAGGATGAAAAACAGACACCCGTAAAGGTTGAGTGGGAAACTCACTTTTCGGGATAAGTATAGGGAGCAACTTATGTACTTTCCCATTATTTAATACACATTCACAATTTAATTTAATTAATAAATTAATAATTATTTATATATCAATTAAATTACAGTAAATGTCGGATATGGATAAACGTTTTCGTTCAAGATAACCAAGTCGTCCTTGTTGGATGTAGATTAACTTGCCTTTCGGCCCATTGCCCCACACAATAGGACAACTAGCTGCACTTTGAGTCTTTGACTGGCATTTCCCTTCTTCCTAGCTAGTTCTCAGTTTCAAATAGTTTCTTCAACTTCCGACAACGTATGCGCCAAATTCGATTTTCCAAGGCTACGTTAATTTCTGACATTATCCTCTATCGACTATCAATTCAACTAACTGAAAATAACAAACAGTAAAGCAACCCCAACTCTTTCTGAACCAGCCACCTCAGATATATGTGGCGACACGATTAGGTAAACAAGTTACCTTAATTCAGCTGTTCTAATTTCGGTAATATATCGACGTCAGTAACTTTATCCAAAACACCTCGAATTATTATGTTAAGTTGATCTCTAACAAATATAAATAATAATTATTATCATTGAAGCTTTCTTTAATTAACACGTGTTAAGCTTGTCAAATAATCGACTCAAATCCACGTCTCTATAGTCAATCGCATATCTTAGGACTAATTTTCTAGTAATCAAACGGTGGTGACAAATTTCATTACATATGAAAATCATTTTCCTATATAATTTTCTTGAGAAATTTGCGTTTTTAATTACTCAAATACCCCTATGATATAATATTTTCATTATGAACCTGGTGTCATATTGCGCGAATATTCATTTTTAATTCCTTTAGTGTAGTGGGCATTGGGTTTTTTTTTTTGGGGGGG